TTCATTTCAAACGGGCCGGATCCGGCCCGCGGGCCGTAGTTTGCCCACGGCTGTTCTAGAACCTCGGATTCTCCTTCCTCTTGTGCCTGTCAGTGTCTCCCCCACAGCCTTGAGCTCCTTGAGAATGAAAACCACGTCTGCTCCTCTCTGCATGCTTCTTAATGTGTAGTACTGTATTCAGCACCTATCAGATGCTCAGTAAATGCCAAAATGACAAAAACAAGAGAGGCACACATTTCCATGGCAACCAAAGAACTGGGTCAATGAGAAAAGGACTGCAGCTTGTATTAAGCACCTTCACATGAGGGCATGAAGGTCTGTCATGGACAGAAACTTTAAGTGCTCTGCACCAAACACAAATGCATGGAGCTCCTCAAAGCTGCTGGCACAGAGAAGCTGGCAGGCTGCTGGGTAGGGCAGCTCTCCACCCCCCCACCCCTCCATACTGTGGGTACTGCTGCCCAGGTAGAGCGTCTTGGGACAGTAAGGGGCAAGAGAGAGCCCCAGGTGAGAGCCCCAGAAAGAGAGCTTGGAAGTGACCCCTAAAGTGAAACCTGAGAGATGTGGCGGATGACAGGATGGGGAGAGAACACTCCGGCAGAGGGAACAGCGGGTCAAGGGGAGAGTAGCCAGTCCTTCCTTAGGTGACACAATAGCTTTGCACATATGATTCCCACTACAACTAAAACCCATGTCAGCCTCTTCCCAAGTTTTGATAAAAATAACACCAGATTGCTTTTCCCCAATCTGATAACCCAGCACCATGTGCACAGGCTTTGATGGAGGCCGAAGATGATCTGTCTTCAAAGACATGGTCAAGCTTTGCTTTTTGCTACCTGTTCACTCCCCAAGGGCTCCAGTTCCCACGCCCTGGCCCCTTCCCTTCTGGGGCGAGAGCCTCAGCTTATCAGCTCACAGTGCTCGAGAATCAAAATGACTATCCACTGGAGTCGAGCCCACCGTCCCTCCTTTTGTTTCCCACAGGCGCTCCCACAGAACAGACGTCCGAGAAGGACAGCCCGGAGAGGACAGTAGAAAGAGCAGAAGATTGGAAATTGGTAGGAATTTCCACTTTCCAAGTACCAGCTGTGTGGCATTAAACAAGGTACTTGACATGCTCATGATTCTCTTATGTGATGATGACAGATACTGTCTGGAAGACTTGGCGTGAGAGTGAAATAAGATGATACAAGGCAAAACGCCTGGCATGTATGCTTGGTGCCCTGACACGGCATATTAGTGTAATAATTCAAGGATGCAGGCCAACAACCACACAGAGGCTATAACAAAATGCCTCTGCAGTTCCAGGTGACCCTGATATAAATATGCTTTTGTAAAAGGTGATTACCCTTGTGAAAGTTGAAGACTTATTTTTGCATAAGAATGGCAATTTCTAGAGTGACTGGATTTCCAACAGCAGTATGAGGGCTTTTCTTAATGATCCGTTGTATAAAAGTGAAAACCGATTTTCGAGGTCCCACATGAAAAAGGATGAGACAATCACCCTAGCGAATGCAGAAAGCAAGCCTTCTGAGAAATGGAGGGTCCTTCTGGGAAAAGGACCCGCTGTGCTGGAGGTGGGAGAACAGAGAGGTTTCTCAAGGCTTTGCGGTTTTGATGCAATCATTTCGGAAGGGACACCTTTAGTGTTTGGGAAAACAGAAGTGGAGGCAATAGAGCTTTAAAGTAATTCTATTTAAAATAGTGTTTCCCCACTACATTCCTTCTTTAAGGATAGAGCTGAGTGATCAGAAGCCTCACCCCTAATGTCCCACTCGTGCGGGGGCATCTTCACCACACAGACACATTCCAATGGTGTTACACTATTCAGAACGACCTGCTGTGAGCTTAGGGATGGATGACCTGGCTCCTGAGAGCTCTTGGTTCTGAAGGAAACGTGCTCGGGACACACAGCACTTTAAAGAGAACTGTCACCCTACATCAAGGCCTTGGAGAGACTGGCCAGATTCACAGAAGCCCTTGGGAGGGTGGGTGGGAAGAGAATTTCTCAGAAAGCATTCCCGCATATCAAGTTGAGAGAGAACATGTTAAAGACAAAGGATTTAAAGTTTAAAAAACCCTGCCATGGAATTACAATTTTTTGTTGTTCAAAAGACTTTCTTGTGGAAGCCTACCTTTAACATGGTGCAAGGAGAAGCTCATTTGAGGGCACCCTTGAAGCTCCTTTTCAGTAAAACAATGATCAGACCTCACCAACGTGTTTTATGGTCCAGAACATAACAGCACAGAAAAAGTCATTCTGTGACTCCCCACTGGATATGAAGCTGCAGCCACTGGTTAATCTCTTCTATGGTATGAGGTGAATTCAAATGTAAATGCTGCCACACAAAACAACCCCAGATGTCTAGGGTAAGTGTTCAGCCAGCACTTCTGATTCATGCTGGGCAGCCTTTGACAACGTTGACTGAAGAGAAAGAGGCAAGACAGCAGAAACCAAATGAACAATTCATTTATTTATCATCTTTGGTGACCAGAGCTTTCCTGCCAGCATCGGGGGTGGGGAACGGGAGAGAAGAAGCCTGTTTGGCAATAAGATACAAGCAAAGAAAACTGTAAGACATTGGTTTGGGAAAGAGCAAATAAAGTTCAAGTGATGTGCCTTATGCAAAATAAGTAATATAAACTCTTTGAAAGTTAACAGATTTTTAAAAATCATATAACTTAAGTCTCTAGTACTTCTCTCATTTCATAAACAAATCCCAGGACCCAAGTGGTTAAATATATTTTGATTCATGGACAGAGGAAGCAATCTGCCCAATAGAGTTTAAGAAGATAATCCAAGTTTAGTAACTCCTCACTACCATTTTGTGCATTTAGAAAAGTAATATGGGTTTAAATGTCAGCTGTGTCTATGTGAAAAATTATTTCCAGTCACCATTTTGTTCTAAGATGTAACCCTGAATTTCAAATCAAACTCATTAGGGTTAATATTTTAAAAATATGTGTCTCCTTAACATATTTCAACTCCTTCAAAAAGTTACTGTGTCTAGCAAATTGAGATAAAGCAAAATTGAAAGTGCTAGTGTCATAATTAGCTAGTTGTTACTAATCAGAGGAGAGCAAAGGGGAGGCTAGACGTTGTAAGCATGGTCATCTGGGCAGCTTCACCAAGAAGCTGTAACTTCATGCTCCCCAGGGAACCACCGGCCCATTCCGCAGATCCCTGGGGGAAGGGATTGAACAAAGGGGTAGACGGGTGCATGCACAGTGAAGTCAGGGTGACATAGGGAAGTGCTTGCCTGTCAGTCTGACCTGGGAAACAGATAGTTGCAAGTGGGTAAAATCCAGTCCTTAAGGATCAATTGTTTAAGCTCCTGGTTAAAATCTCCAGACAAAGAGTTCACTCTCTTTTGCCTGTTCTTGCTTTACTCATGCCTTCTTGTTCCTCTCCTGCTCCGTGACCTGCATGCATCCGTCCTTTCGTCATCGCCATGTGGCCTTAAGCAGCTACATGTCCCAGGGTCATGCGGAGTCCACACGCAGGACACTGGACTGGACTTTAATACGGACCGGAGACTCTGGGCAGAGGCCTTAATTCTAGCCCCGCTGAAGACAAAATTGGACTTTTCCCAATGGTGGGATGGAGGGAAATGCAACACTGGAAACCCAGGGGTTTGATTTCACGAAAATAAAGACCACTCATCCTCCCGGGCCGGTGTCAGGAAATTCCTTTCCTTGTGACATCACAAGAACTCCACTTCCACCGGTAACAGATGGGGACACAGATGGCACCCCACTGATAATAAAAGGAGCAAACCATTTCATTTAGGCAACTTTGAAAATGAAATGCAGAATATAGCACAGTCCTGGACACTGAAAGTGAGGTCATCCTGGATCACTCCCTTCTTTGTTTTTTCCAGATGCAGAGGTCCTGGAAACAGTGCTCCCCAAAGTGTGGCCTCCTGACCTGCTGAGTCAGACTCCCTGGGGCCCTGTGCCAGATGGAATCAGATATTCTCAGGGGGAAGCCGCCAGTCAGAGGGTGACAGGGCCCGGGAAGGAGGTCTTGACACAAAGAAGCCTGTGTCAGCACATAAGTGTCAGCACAGCTCCTGGGATTTCTCATCCCTTTCAAGCCACCATCACACAAATAACACCTTCACCTGTGAGTGTGGGTGGGGAGAACTTTTCCTCTATCCTCAAGTCAATCACTGGGGGCCCATGAATTAAACTGACACAGATTAAAAAGAGAAAATACAAAGTTTACTGAGGAAGGTTTGTATGGGAGTGGCAGTGGGCCCACAAAGAAAGTGGCTAGAAAAAGCAGTTCGAATTTGGGGCTTATACACCATCTTAGCTCAGGGAGGGAGTTAGGATTTCAAGGGACAAATAAATGGTGGGAAATGATTGCAGAACAGACGAGGGAAACTAGTGGGAGGCAAGTTTGTGTTAGCAAAGTCTGTTCATGCATTCTCATCTCTGGTGACAGGAGTCGTCCTTTCCCTGGAAGTAAAGGGGAACTTATAACAGCTGAATTGTTTTGAAAAGATCTGCTCCTTTAGGCAGTCAAGGGGGTGCAGAGCAAGTCTCATCTTTCATCTGTTGATTCTCAAATGCCTTTAGCTCAAAATAATGCTTCTGCCACAGTGGTGTATTGGGGAGCCTTCTCTAGCAAACACAGTCACCAGATTGCAACATTTATTCCCACCCGCATTCCTGTCGTGTAAACAAGAGTTACTTGCATTTTATAGGTGCGCACGCGTGGTGTGTGTGTGTGTGTGTGTGTGTGTGTAGGGGGGCAGGAAGGATGCTAAGAGGCTGGTTACCAAACAAAGCCCAGGTCATATGGTTTCCAGTATTCAGGACTTGAATTTAGATCTTTTAATTTTAAAATCAATTACCCTTTAAGAACAAAGCAAACAACCTCGCCCTCAAATACATACACAAATTCCCTTGATTCAAACATACAGTTTTCCTTTCAGTCATCTCTTTTCAATAGACTAGCACAATTTGTCAACACAACCATTAAGGAGACCAGCCTCTAATAAGCTAAATTTATGAATGATGGCTCACTCTAGTGTTGGCTGAGACATAATTAAATACTCAGCAACCAGCCAAAGGTCTAAGGACCATAGGTTGCTCTTGAATTGTCCATCTGCTTCCAAACATAATGACACTCGGTGATTGATGACCTCAGGGGCTAGGGTGTAGTTCAACCCAGTGAAGAGCTAATCATTATTAAACACTAGTGCCTATTACAGAGCAGACTAACACAAGAGAAAAACCATTTCACCAGAAAAGGACAAGGAGAAGGTACAAGACGACAGAAGAAGAAACTTACTAGCACATTCCATATTTAGGGTATCATTTCCTTCAGTAAATTTCAGACCTGGTTCAGTAATTCCTAAGATCTTTTAAGAGGATGTCTGCTAAGGAATGGCACCTAAAATAGAATACGCAGCCCTGTCTCTGATGGTGTTGAAGTATCCTGGCTTCGGCAGCTTTTTCTTCCAAGGCTGCAGTGCTCAATATGGTAGCCACATATGGCTATTTAAACCTAAATTTAAATTAGTTACTATTACCTCAATTAAACTTTTAGTTGTTCAGTTACACCAGTCACATTTCAAGCATTCTATTGGACAGCACTGGTCTGGAATCTGATGGTAAAGTGTTGGAATGAAGAGGAAATGTTGCCAGCACTCCCCAGGATGTTTAAGTAAGAAGGAGGGAAAACTGAACTTAAATATTTTTATTAAAAATATTTCAAGTATATTGAAAAACAAAGAAATAATAGAGAACACATGTGTGCCCAATGTAAGTGTCAAATATTTACATTTAGCATCCCCTCCCCCAACTCTTTTTTCAGTGAAAATAAGAAATAAAACACAGATATGTAGAAGCCCCATGGGAGCCCGTTAACCAGCTCAATAAAGAAATACCTTGCTGAAAAGTTCAAAGTGTATTGGACAAAAGCGATGATGCCCGGACATAACCACGTGTAGAGAGACCTGGGCACTGGGACCACATGGCATGGGGCCTAATTGTCCTGGAGAACTAACAACAATTCTAGAATATTTGGAGTTCCATTGAAGGTGAAGGCAAAACTAATGTGAATCCACAGAATGACGCATAAAGATTCTTTCTCTAAAGGTAGAAACAGGGAGTGTGTTTTGAAAAAACCAATTTCAGGCATTAAGCACATAAAAATAAGTAATGGTCGGGCAATCACAAACTCCTTCAATGTCAGTGCCAGGAGCCCGGCTGAGACGTCTCTCTAAGCTTGTAAATCATTCGGTAAATTTTAAGTATCAGAAAACAAGGGGAACCTTCACTGAGTAATCGCCCTTTACACAGAAAATAGAGATTTATTGTCCAATACTTGACAAAGATCCATGGCTAAGTCTGCAATAAGTATGTCCCTATGTCATTTGCTGGTTTCGTCAGAATTATTTACCCTCTTTCATTTACTGTCACTTCTATTCTATTCTCCAACCCAGCAGACCACAGGCATGAGCATTCATCTGAAGGAAATAGTTTCCTCCGTGTAAACAACTCACTTAAGTTACAAAGGAAGTGCATGGAGCCTACATTTCTAGAAACATGGTGCTTTTGCAGGGCAAGATGTGGGACCTGCACTGATACAGACTCAAGAGGGCATGCCCCATTCTATCCCAAATGATCATATAATAAAACTGCCCTACCTGATGCTAAGCAGACTTGGTTTTACGTTTCTAACCTGTTATCCATGCGCTGAGAGCCTTTCCCTTGTTTGGGTGTCTCCTGTTCTCTAAAGTAGGCAGTCTGCTGTGGCCTTCTTGGGCACTGCAGAACATACCATGCGGCCCCAAAGTGGCATGGTACCACACTTGCTGCTGGCTGTTCTATTACTACTAAAGAGCTTCCTCTTCAGCATTTAACATGTTCCACTTACAGCTTAGGGCGGTCCAAGCTGGTCCCACTGAGGTCTTTCCTACTGCAGTTGCTCAGAGCCAGAGGTGGCTCCTCTCTGTCAGAGGGCATGGGCTCCCTCCAGTTCGTGACCTGCCTGAGTTGCCTTCCCTCAAGTTCCAGCTGGACACCTCTGCTTGTCAACCTGCAAGTTTCTACCATACCTAAAACTCAACACCCCACATCTGAAACTCATCTCACCTCCCCACCCCCACCCCCATGGCAATCCTTCCAGCCATCTCCTCGTGTCTGTTAAGGACACACTCAGTCCTCAGTTTGAGGGCCTGGGGGCCTCTTCCTCCTTCTATGTGGACTCAGTCTTTGGAACCATCAAGCTTTCTCCCTACAAATCCTCTCAGATCTGACTGTCCTCCCCATTTCCATGGCTACTGCTATAGCTCCAGTGAGGTCCCTTCCTTCCCGGTCTGCCCTCTCCTGCCACACAGCTGTGGGCTCATTCCTAAACAGCCCGGCAGCTCTTCAAAACCTGCCGTCAGCATCCCTTCTGATGTTCGCCGGACTCCCAGCATCTCCAGCCACTCTTCCACTGTGCCTGCCCCCACACTCGTCCCCTTCCAGTCTATCTTCTGTCACGCCTTTGCTTACCCCAGTCCTCCTACTACAAATCTTC